TCGACGAAGCAGAAGGACAAATGAATGAAGTAGGGTGTGAATTTTTTTCTTTGTTTTCGTTAAGTCAACGTAACATCAGAACCACTGCAGCTGAACCTGTTTTCTTATAGTCACACAACTAACATACAAAACTGTGTTTCAGACAGAAGACAGAACACAATATTTTTTATAAAATAATCCAACAATATGAAGTCAATGCCCGAGGCAACATGTTCCCAAGAGCAGTCAAAGTCAAATCCCAGCAGTGCAATTTAGAACAGCATTATTGTAGTGTTTGTTGATGTTTAAATAGTTAATGCTTTGTTTTAACCCCACAGCTTCTTGCTGTCCCACTGTAAGAAATGGTGTGTTGTAATATGGTAATTTGTTCTTGCCGACTGTGGGAGCCGTAGCATTTCTGCGGGAGACCTTATGGACTGGTAAATGAAAGCGTTCATTGATTTTACAGTTAGCTAATTTTCGTGTCGCTACAGCTGTCATACACACAGATGTTAGCGGAGCAGACGGCTGCCCTCTTTTTTAGATTCAACATATTAATAAACAGATCACAATAAAATCTATAACCTGCCACTGGCAATTGGCTGTATTGGACAGGAATTTACAACAGAAAAAATAAGTTTGAGGTTCTGGTGTGCCTCATAAACACACACATGCAAGCACACACAGAGACACACAAATATACATACATACATACATACACACAGTTGTGGGGGTAAGAGGAGGAGGGGGCGGAGTTGGCAGGGCATCAAATGAGCTTTAACCTTTAAGTGTTGACAGAAAGCTGCTTGCTGAGAAATGTGCAATCACAACAAAAGTCAGCAGAGCAGAAGAGAACGGGGCGAGTTGGGGGATGGTGAGCTGTTTGTGCAGTAGACACATGGTGGGACTTGGACAGGTCATGTTTTTAATGGGTGACTTTAAAGGTGATTGCCACCAGAGGGTAACAGTGCAGAGAAGAAAGTGGACATCATTATTACACTGTCCATCTGGCTGGATAAGTCACCTAAACCGCTCACTTCTATTCTATTCATATATTATTTATCATCATTTACTTAAGAAAAAAACAATTTCTTTTTTGACTTTTAGACAGAGAATTCAAATAATTTCAGCTCTTCATCACCAGCACAATATTTATCTAAGATGCATAAAAATGTATATAAATATATTATCATCCAAGAAGATAATATAAGATAATATTGAAAATAAATAATGACAATTGAAACCCAAACCCACTCATGGAAAAAAAAAACAATAGCCACATTCTTTTCAGAATCAACAGATTAAATTAGTGTTGATAAAAATCAAAGTCATTTTCATTCAGGGCACAGTCAGTTTGCATGCATGGATGTGCACCTGTTTAAGGCAGATAGGGGGTGTGGACTATATGTTTTTTCTCTGCATATTTCAGAAAATATTTGTGTGTCCTTTAAAAGTTGCTCATAAAATCAGAGAGCCAGGGCTGTAATACAATGTAAACAGGAAAACAGATCCACTACCTGTCACGTGTGGGCATTGACATGGCAG